GCTGCCCTTAAAGAATAAATAACTTAAGCCACTTAGCTCATATGCAGACTTAACCTATTAAATCTTGATGTTGTACGGTTATTGTTGTTTTCACAGAACAGAGACTTAAACAGCAGCTGGGAAAAATCAGGTCCAATGTTGACAAGTTCCAGAGAGACCTGCAAGATGTAAAACCGTCTCCAGAGTTTGTTGAAAAGCTCAAAGAGATTATGGAGGAAATTGAGAATTCTATGATGACCTTCAAAGAACTGCAAAGAAAAGTGTATGTATTGTATTATAATTAACAATAATCTGACCACAACTTAGTATTGGTATACTGTTGTAAACCACAGTTGGCATTCGCATCTATGCCAACTCTCCTGGATTATCCAGGAGTCTCTTGTATACAGACTGAATCTCACAGCCCTCTATACAGGTCACGAAATCTCATAGATACAAGGGACTGAGTGCTTACAGTTGCACATTTTCATGCTTATTATGGCCAATTTTTGGCACTTTTGGAGGTAAATTTTGGATCTGATACATTTTTTGTGGTTGATTTGATGAAGCTCTACTTTTAACAAATGTTTTCCTAAGGTCAAGAACATAAAATTGGCGATCTTTTAGATTTTAGGTTAACATCTCCGCATTATTTCCTGCGGAGGGACTCCCATGTAAAAAGAACAGGGAACACTCATTGTACCTTTTAGGGGTTAAAAACATGGTTTTGATACATGTACCTCTTAAAGTGTTCAGCCTCAAAAGGTCCCCAGCGGAAGCCTTTACAGTACCTTTAAGGGTATTGAGCCGAAGAAATTTGACAGACGATAATGTGTTGTTTTAGAATTAGTACCTTTTAGCAGGAAAAAATTTCAAGCCACGCCCAAAAACAGGATCTTGGTACCTCTTATGGGGTTCTTTTCAAATTTTCTGGCGAGCACCCCCATCCAATTTAGATAGGAGTTCCCCGCGGACATTAAATTCTGGTTACCTGAAAGTTACATTCCTACCAGGGTACTCAGGTATATAAGGGTTGAAGAACTTTGGAGTCCTGGTAAATGTAGAGCAAATAGAGATATTGAGAAATCTTGCAAGTAACCCATGAGGAACCCACAACACAGTGGTA